ATTAGCATTGGCACCACTGGCATCATCATCACAGCCTTCACCACGGTAACCACCAATACCACCCAGGCCATCACCAACACCATCACCATCTCCACCATCACCCCTGTCAATATCACCATTACTATTACCACGACCACCATTAGTATTACAATTGCCACCTCTGCCAATATAACTATCAGTACCACCATCTCCACCCTCATCACTATTACCCTCGTCAATGCCATCACCACAGCTCTATTACCATCACTATTCGATCACCACCAGCTCTACTGTCACCATTAGAATTATCACCACCACCACCACCTTCATTATCTCTACCGTCATCACAAACACGAAGGCCGTCACTATCACCACCTCAGCCCTACCACATCATCAGCCCCACCATCATCACCATCACACCATCACACCACCACCCCACTCCCGCCTCCAACAACACTACCAGCATCGTCGCCAGCTCTGTCCATCACCATGGAGTGAACAGAACACACCTGGAGCAGTCATGCCCATTATTTCAGGTATCCTTGTAGAAACCCTGTGGTTTGGTACAATTATATCCCCATGGTGCCGAAGAGAAACTCCAACATGGAAAAGTTTAAAGATTGGTCAGCTGGCAACTGAGCCCCAAATCTCTGTCTTTCAAGACCTGACCCTGAGAGGGTGTGACAAGTCCACCTCCGGTCTTGGCAGGGTCCTCAGCAAAACCATCAAGTCCCCACTCCTCCCACTGGGATGTCTTTGAGGTCAAGGCCTCTGTCGTATGACTTCAACACTGTGGGATACGACGCAGAGTAGGTCCTAATACATTTGTTGAACAAATGAATGAAACCGGAAGGATTCAGATGGAAAGAGGTTTGAGTTCCCGGCAGGGCTCGGTCCTTGACCCTGTGCTTGATCTTGGGTAAGACCTTTCCTCTCTGATATGAGTTTCCACACCAGAGAACGAAGGGAGCATAGTGATTAAGATCTAGAACTCTGGAGCCTTGTGGTTCCGATCCCAACACCATCACTTTGTTGTTGTTAATCCTCACCCGAGGATATTTTTCCTTTGACTTTAGAGATAGAAGAGAGAGGGAAAGGCAGAGAGAAACATCAATGTGAGAGGAACACACTGATTGGTTGCCTCCTGCATGTGCCCGGTCCAGGGCCCAGGCCAGGGAGGAGCCTGCAACCAAGGTACGTGTCCTTGACTGGAATCGAACCTGGGACCCTCTGGCCTGCAGGCCGATGCTCTATCCACTGAGCCAAACCAGCTAGGGCCCAACACCGCCATTTAGCCGCTGTGTGATCCATGCAACGTGACTTGTCTTCTCTGTGCCTCAGTTTTCTCCCCAGCAAAAGGGGGTTAGTAGCTATGGGTTGGCTAAGGGGACAGACTGAGTTACTATCTGTAAAGCCCTTGAAACTGTGCGTGCAACACAGCAGGTGCTGCATAAGGATCTGTTGCATAAGCAAACACGCTCAGGGCTGTTCAGCAGTGACATCAAGTGACTAGGATGTTGGGACCCCTCACCCAGCCTGTCCTCTCTGAGCAACACCCAGAATGTGGCCCTTCCTAGCTGCACCCCAGACCTCTGAGTGCTCACTGGTGCCCGGTCCTCCGCTATCTTAGCCGTGACTTCATTCCTCTTCAAGGACATCCTCTGGGACAGGAAACTACCCCCCTTTCAAGCAGGGATTCGAGGGCTGGGTCTCTGGCCTGCCTGGCAGGGAACTATTCTGGGGGCAACCTGGAAGCTTCCAGGCAGCCAGGAGCCCCGGGAGTTTTGGGGGGAGTGGAACTGGTTGGCTGCCTCTTCCTCTGAACCCCGGGCCGCTGGATGTGGACTGCGGCTGCCTGTGTGTTGATAGAGAGGAAGGGAGACGGGGAGGCAGGTGCAGCCACCTCAAAGGAAGCGGGTGAGTCTTTAATTAACTCAGACCCTGACCCCTCTCTGGAGCTCCCCTTAGCCGGGGGCACCTTATCTTCTCAGCTCACTCGGACCTGCTGCTTCGTCGATTAGGGGGGCTTTTCCAGGGGTGAGAGATGGGAGTCGTGACTGGGAATGCCGGGAGAGCCGTTATTTTTAAGAGCGCGGTGTTGGAGAACTTAGACAGACAGATGGTGGTGCTTTCTGGAGTCGGGGAGGGTGAGGCTGTGCCAGGAACAGGCACCTCTCTACCCGCGGAGGCAGAGAGAGGGTAGGGGGGCACCCTCCCCTGCAGTGGGGGCGGCGCAGGGACCAGAGAAGAGACAGAGTCCTGTGGGCACGCAGAAAGGAGCCCTTAGGACAAGTTCCCCGTCCGTGGGCAGCCACCCCGCGGGAGGACTGGGCCACAGCAGGAGAGCCCCCCTATGGCACCATTTCTTTAGGTCTTGCTGGTATCTCCTCCCTCTTCTTTTTGAAACGTTCGTGCTTTGTTGCGATATCATTGTCATGTAACATGGTGTGAGCTGAAGGTGTACAATGTGTGAGGATCTGATACATGTATAGATTGTGAAATGGTTACACGATACGGTTAGTTAACACATCCTCCTTCCCACCTAATTACCATTCTGTTGCTGTTCTGCCTTCCCTTTTAAAATGTCACAGGTCACCTCTTGAGAGAGCCCTGAACCCTTGGGCATGAGTGAGGGTCTCAGATCTAAGAGGCAGGGCAGCTGAATCAACCCTGAGGAGGTGAGCCTCTACTCTGCCAACATCGCCACCTGCAAAGCTTATCCCAGGGACCCCGAAATTGGGGGCTGGCCTGGAACCCCCAGAGCTTGTGGGCCACCCTGAAATCAAGACCCAGTGCCCCTGACATCACAGCAGTCTCCAGCCGGCTGCAATTAGTCACCTGGGAAGCCTTTAAAACACACAGATGCCCAAGGCTTGGCCACTGCCATTGTTGTTGTTGTTTTTTTTAAATATATTTTATTGATTCTTCACAAAGAGGAAAGGAGAGGGATAGAGAGCTAGAAACATCAATGAGAGAGAAACACCGATCAGCTGCCTCCTGCACACCCCCCACCGGGGATGTGCCCGCAACCAAGGTACGTGCCCTTGACCGGAACCGAACCTGGGACCCTTCAGTTTGCAGGACGCTCCATCCACTGAGCCAAACCAGTCAGGGCAACACTGCCATTTTTTTTAACAGCTCCAGGAACCCAATGTGTAGCAAGGGCTGCCAACCACCGCCCTGGAGTGACTGGCAGGTGGAGGAGTCCAACCTGATGTCTCACCTCTGACTGCCTTCTTCCCAGGTTAACATCATTTGTAAAAATTGATAATAATAATTCACACGTTTACCACCTTAAATATTTCTGGTACAAAACAAGGAACCTACCCATGCATTAATCTTCACCTCTGTGCAGGACTTTCCAATTTATAACAAACTTTCTTATCTATGACCTCATTTCATTCTCGAAACAACCTGTTAAGGAGGTCTTGTTACACCCATTTTGTAGATGAGAAAACTGAGGCCCAGAGAGGGGCAGGACTTTACCCAAAGCCCCAGGCAAGTCAGCGGCAGAGCTGGGTTGGGTTCTAAGTCTCCTGACTCCAAGTCCAGTGCTTGGTCTAGGTACAATGTCAGTGGGCCCTCTAGCTGCCTGGATGTTTGTCCATCCAGAGGCACCTACTGCTCAGACCCAGGCTCACAGTGACCCCACCCAATGCCCAGCAGCAGGTGCCCTCTCCAGGGGCCAGATCCCCCCTGGGCCTCCCCCCCGCCTTTGGCATCTCAGTTCAGCTGACTGACATGCAAATTAGTTTAATTATTTCTTCTTCTAAAATAAATTATATTTTGCAGTAGCTGCAATATGTTGTGTCAGGCAAAATTACATTCAATATTTTTAAACTAATTGATGCAGCCTTGAGGAAGGCTGATTGACAGCCCAGAGCTGAGCAGGCCTGCAGCCTTAGCGATTCCTAAATTAAAATTAAACGTGCTTCGGCCTGGTGGTTCTTCCCTGTGCTGGCTCCCCATTAATCTGGGAGGTGGCAGGTGATGCCCTGGGGGGCCGAGGGGCCCAGCAGTTCAGTGGGTGCTTCAGGAAGAGACCAGACTTGGGGCAGAGAATGGCTGTGCAGTGTGGGTGGGCCTCTTACACTTTGCTCCCCGGGTCCCTTATGCGTAACAGATGGAGGAATGGACTGAGCAATTTGGAGCTGAGACTTCTGGTTTTTGCTGACAATTACGGATTGAGCCCCTTCTGTGTACCAAGGACACAACAGTGAGCAAGACCACATGGTCTCTGTCTAGTGGCAGGGACAGACAGTACTCCAGACCCTGAAAAGAGCTGAGGGATAAAGTTCAGGAGCTGTGAGAGCATGGAGCAGGGGGTCCCGCACTTGGGGAGGGGGTGTACAGGGATGTGTTCTCTGGAGTCAGTGACCTTTAGGTTGAGATCTAACTAGGAAGTAACGTGAAACCCATTGTTAAACCGATCAGGTGAAGTCCTGATGACCTTATTTAAACTTACTCTCCCACCTGACACCCCCTCCCCGGCTGTATTTCTCCCCACAGCACACGTCAACACCCCCATGTTTCTACCTGCCTACCTTGCCCATCGCCCACCTCCCCCGCTAGGAAGTCAGCAGAATTTTTGTCTGTTGTGTTTACTGCTGTAACCCCAGCACCATGTGCTGCGTGACCCTGTTCCTGCCTCTATCGCTGGACCAAGGTTTTCTCATCAGTAAAACAAATGGAGTTGGACTTGGAA